GGTCAGCCACATAAGTAGGAGGCATCAGACCCCTAGCCTAATTGGCTAACTGATCAGTGTTCTCTTTTTTAAATTAACCGGTTAAGAGGAAAACTGTAAGCAAAACAAGCCCCCATTGGAAAAGCTTGTGTGATGCCATGTATATAGAAACTTCTCATATAAAAGCTCTCTTTTTCTCCTGGGGCTTCTGAGACCTGAAAAGCTGAATTGGGAGCTGGCAAAACTGCTCCCCATGGGGGTCTCCCCACTTCACTGGAGAAGTGAACTGAAGCTATGTGAAGGGAAAGCCTCAGGTACTGGGGGAGAAAGTCTGTCTCAGGGCTTGAGACCCCTATTCTCTCCCTCTTCTTTCCCCTTTTGTTTTTTTTTCTGGGTTTTGAGTGGGATAATACTATAGGAGGTGTCAATCCCTGAAGCAGACTAGCCAGGGTTGGAGCCTGGAATGTTTTAGTTGCTGTTGCAACTTCTTTTGGTTCCAGCCTAGCTGTGTGGCTGAACCCCAGCTGTGGCTTGCTGGCAGAGCTGGGCCAGGATTACAAGCCTAGTGTGCTTTAGGCCAGGGCTGAGTGCCTGGCATGTATTAATTGGTGTTGCAACATCTTTTGATTTCAGCCTAACTGTGTGGCTGAACCCTAGCTGTATGTCTTGCTGGCAGTTCTGGCCAGAATTAGGGGTTTGGCCAATCTGAGCCAGGCTTGAGGCCTTTACTGGGATAATGCCATGGGGGTATTAGTCCCTAGAGCAAATTGACCAGTAATGGAGTCTTGCCAGTTATTGGCCTGCATAGGCCTGACTTCCTTTTTGTTGTTTCATAGCTGGGGGATTTTCTTTATGTGGGACACCCTAGCCAAATTCAGTGATTCCAGATTTCTGAGTGGGGGCTCAAGCCACAGTGAAATTTGAACCTGGCCCTTGTTGCTGCTGACTGGTGCCTAGCAGAAGGATTAACAAAATACAGCAGGCAAAAGTTCTACTGACTGGGCCTGAGAGATGAGAGAATGAGAACTGCCCCCAGATACCTGCCTGAAAATGAGGAGTCATCACAGAGAGATACCATGCTTCAGGATGTAAGGATTTTCTAAAGCTTTGGCTTTTGCTCAGCTCTGCTCCCATTCAGTTCAGTGGGAATGATCTGAATGAGAGCAAAAGGAAGCCAACGTTCAATACTTCTGAGCGTCTGAGGACCCTGAGCGCAGCTGGGCATCAGGGGTCAATGTTAGAAGACTTAGTGCTAGTTGTGCTTGCAGGGGTCACCTTGCTGACTCCTATCCTAGCTCTGCCAAGAATGCCAACCAGAACAGGCTCATTCTCTGCTTCCTCATGAGCACTAAGCCGAGCAGGGAGAAAATCCCACTCCAAAGCTATAAAGCTCCTGCTTTTTCCTTCTCCAAATCACCGCCTCCATAATGAGCAAGGACTATCCCTCTGAAAATGAGTAGCCAGAGGGAGAGGTCTGCCAGTGTTTGGCTACGGACTGGCTACATCCCACCATACCTGTTGGGTCTTGTCCTCAGGTATACAGAGCCTCAGTGGGAAAGTCACTGCTGGACCCTGTGGATCCTGCACAGTCCAGTCCTGATAGGGCTGCCCTAAATGCATTATGTAATGGCAACATCAGAGTGGAATTGGTTCTTACCACCCCAGCCCTAGCACCAGACTGCATCTCCCACGGTGACCTGACAGCTGGTAGGCAGGAGCCCCTTTGTACCAGTAAGGGTAGACTGGTGCTACATGTTCTAATGTGGGCTACTGAAAAGACTGACCTGTCAGCTCCTGCTACTGGATTGTTGCTGGAGGGTGGGAGAAGGGAGCTTGCCAGGTGAAATGTGCAGTAGAGGCACAAAGTATTAGTATTATTACTGTTATTAATATTGCCTGCTGCTGCGTTGCCTTCACTGCCTGACAGCGTGGGCAGGGATTGACTAGAAAATGTTGGATTTTTTATTTTTAAGGCCATTAATGGCCCAGGTCCTACATGCCACTTCTGGCTCCCTGTAGTGTGTTCCATCCAGCCCTCTGGAGGTGAGGGGGTAAAGCTGCTGGAGTCCAGGGACAACAGAAGAGCCAGGTAGCATGCCTCCATGATCTCACTACAGCACAGTGCCCCCCTCCCCATGGCATCCAAACACCACCACACAATGAGGCCTTTTCAAACAACTCTCTCTTTCTAGAAGTCCTCAGCTCACCACATCACTCACATTGGCATATCAGTACTGATCACAGCCTCACATCTTTAGGTAAATTAGGCCTTAAGCCTCATAATATTAGGCTATTCTCTCAAGATCTGGCCTATAGGAGCTGCCCCAAATAACAGACCTCTACTCTAATGCACATTCCCACTGAAATCAGTATGATTGTCCAGTATGGATAGTATGGCTCCAACAATCCCTTCTCAGATGGATTTCCAAACCTGAAAAAGTGGGACTTCAGATAGAAGTAAAGGCCTGAGTGAACAGCTCTGTGAGTAGGGACAGGCACTTCATTTCCAGTCAGCTCAAGGCTACCCAAAAGCAAGTGCCTCCAACTATAGGTGCACAACCCCAGACACCCTCAAGAACCCACATTTCAGAGGATGGGAGATGATCCGAGTATTTAAGGCAAGTTGGATACCCTGAAATGTAGGCAAATTTAATGCCTAGTCCCTTTAAATGATCAAGGCTGCTGAAGTTGAAGGGAGCCCAGGTGGAAGGGCCTGCCACTGATTTGCTTGCAGGATTGCAGCCTGAGCCTGTACATGTTTTATTACAAAGCAGATCAGGTCCTTTGACAGAGAGGTATGATACACTGCATACACGGTGATTAATCATGGAGATAATTAGATTTCCTCCCTTTTGAATTAAATGGACCCCAATGCAAGTCACACGGATATTAACATTCCATTAATTGAGGAAGAGGGTGGAATACATTCAGGCTCCTTCTCAGTAGCAAGTATAAAGCCCAGCCCTCCTCCCCTCTAAGTCCTTTGATCTCCAGCAGCTGTGTTAAACAAGGTGGACAAGTAAAGACTTCCCTCCCCACCGCTGGCCTGCTGCCCAGCCAAGTGAAAACAAAGCACTTAAAAGCAAAAAGACAACTAAATCCTTTTCAGTTTCCATCGATCTTTAACACATCTTTGTAATAACAGTCTTATTGTCATCAATA